TTTTTTTTTATTATTTAATTATTTTTTTGTTGTTGAAAAAAACATTTAGATACAGGTGCACAAAAAAACTCATAATGTTGACAAATAAATATTTTTTTTTGATTTATTTAAAATAACTAATTATTTTTAATATATTATTTTAAATTATATATATATATATATATATATATATATATATAAATAATATAATAATAGAAATTTTATATATTTTTTTAAATTTATATTTATTATATATATATATATTTTTATTTATATTTCTATTTATTATATATTATATTTTAGAAGTTTTCATATTATGTATTATAATTAATACTCAAAAAAATAAATATTTAAAAAAAACTAATTATTAGTATTAATTAATTATTCCTTAACCTGTATTTGCTGGGCTACCAGTGCCAGCAAGCCGGTTATGGACAGGGCTACCCGTCCGGGTACAGCCGATAGCGGTATCCAGAAGCCCATGAATGTCATAATAACTACCAGTGCTGACGTTATATATCGTTTGACCAGATATTTGCCACAATTTCGTTGCATATGTACTATAGCGTACAGATAGCTATAGTCACCTAAATCGGGATGTCGTTTAGTATACCCGTCCCACTCGTACTCCTCAATCTGAAACTCTGGCAGCAGTACATGACTGCCCAGTCTAAACATTTGCCATTGTAATTGTACTGTCTCAATTGTGTTGATTACTAGATAAATCCACCCGCCCCCATTAATTAGTTGATCAAAAAATTAATAAAACATTTAATTATATGTATCGTATAAGTATGTTTGGTGTGTATATGTGTAGATATGTATGTGTAAGGGTATGTATGTGTAAGTATGTATGTATAAGTATGTATGTGTAAGTATGTATATGTAAGTATATATGTGTATAAGTATGTATGTGTAAGTATGTATATGTAAGTATATATGTGTATAAGTATGTATGTGTATAAGTATGTATGTGTAAGTATGTATGTATGTATAAGTATGTATGTGTAAGTATGTATGAGTAAGTATGTATGTATGTATAAGTATGTATGTGTATAAGTATGTATGTGCATAAGTATGTATGTGTAAGTATGTATGTGTAAGTATGTATGTGTAAGTATGTATGTGTAAGTATGTATGTATGTGTAAGTATGTATGTGTAAGTATGTATATGTTCTTATGTATGTGTAAGTATGTATGTGTAAGTATGTATGTGTAAGTATGTATGTGTAAGTATGTATGTGTAAGTATGTATGTGTAAGTATGTATGTATATAAGTATGTATGTGTAAGTATGTATGTGTAAGTATGTATGTGTAAGTATGTATGTGTAAGTATGTATGTGTAAGTATGTATGTGTAAGTATGTATGTATATAAGTATGTATGTGTAAGTATCTATATGTAAGTATGTACAGTATGTGTATTAGTATATACATGTATGTATGTATGTATATGGTAAGTATTTATGTGTATATGTATGTTTGTGTAACTATGTATGTGTGTATTGAATGATAAGCACCTACATGTAGTAATATTAATAGGACACGACTGTCTATCAAATGGAAATTTTCTGAAATTCATATTACATGAAAATTTCATCTGATATCTGGCAGCCATAAACATACGGGTGCTGTTGGTTACAACAAAATAGACCGTAGGCGACAAACCACCAACGGGTATACCGCCTGACATACTATTACGGAAATAGGTGTCCGGAACCCATAGTCGGTCTTTCCATTGGTAGCCCAGTGTTAACTTTTCATCGACCGGYGCCCGTAGCCGATGGTCGTACCATTCGAGCTGATAGAAAAAGTCTATACTAACCGACTGTTTATTTATTTTTATTTTTTTTTGGGGTAAATAAAAAATAAGAAAATTATAACAACAAAAAATACTGCAATAGTAACTAATATATAATAACTATTATAATTTAAAATTTTACTAATTAGTTAAAATTTTTACTATTTAATTAAAATTTTTAAATTATAAATTTACCAATTAATTTATTATAATTTTTATTAATATATTTATATTTATAATTATTTAGTTTTATATTTTATTTAAATTATGATTTATTTTTAATAAAAAAAAATAATAATATTTATTATAAAATAATTTAATTAATTAATATATTAGTAAATAATGTGATAATTAATTTAATTAAATTTAATAAATAATATATATATTACAAAACTTTATATTTAATCAATAAGTTTACTTATAATATTTTTATAATTTTTATAATTTTTATTATTACTAAATTTTCACTCAGTTTAAATCTAATTATATAATAAATAAATTGTATTTTAATTAAAAATTTATAAATAACTAAATATGATAACTAAATAATTGTAAAATTAATTAATTTATTTTTTTTAATAATCAAATAAATATATTTATTATTAAAGTTTAATATTTCTAGCAATAAAAATGAAAACATAATAAATGTATTAATTAATTGCTAAATATTTTTTTTAATTATTATTATAATTATTAATTAACTAATATCAGTAGACACTTATACACACAATAAAAACATAATAATAATAATAATAATATAAATGATTAATTAATAAAAAAATAAAAACTACTAAACATTTTATATTATATATAATTATTTTATAATTTACTAATATTATAGACACCTATATATATAAAATATATATATAACCTCATACCTGTTCGGCACCTGGATCTGGCTTATAGGACAGTACAACCATTGATACATTAACTTGAACTGGTTGTCCATAATTATTATTATTAATATTAGTATTATTATCACCACTACCAGTGGGTGCTATATCTTTATTATAGTTTTCAGRTAATATTTGTTGTCAATGATTTTTGACAATTAACACAATTATTAATTATAATTAATAGACTAATAGTTGTTAATAATATTTTAGTATTAGATTTTGATATTAATATAGCGTTAAATATGTAAAACATATTTTTAAATTTATTAAAAAACATTTTTTAGATTTTAATTGTTTAACAAAACAAAAGTTAAATACAATAGTTGTTAAACCAATTGATTACTAATATAATAATAATAATATTTTTATATATATTTATTTTTTTAACTTTTTGTTTTCACTAATGATTAGACATAATATATAATAAAATAAAAATAATATTATTTTATTAACTCATTAGTTTTGGCTTATAATTAATTAAACAAAACTTTATTTAATATATTAATAAAATACAATAATATGTATTGTATTGTATGTATGAAATATTTGTTGAATTATTAATACAATTGAAAAACATTTTTATTATATTTATTTTGTTTTGTTTTTTTTGATGAAACATATGTGTCTATTATCAATATATTTGCAATTATTAATATTATTATTATTATTATATCAAAAAATACTAATTTATGTTAATTTTAGTTAACTGTATAAAAAAATTTATATAACACTAGTTTGTATCTAAAAAAAAATATAATAATAGATATTAAATCATTTATATATAAAAAATAATTTGTTATTATATTAAATTAAACTAATTATTATTATTATTAAACATATATCACATTTTTTATGGCAAATATTTATATTATAATAAATATAATTATTAAAAAAATTAATTTATTTATTTGAGTACAATGTCAATGTTACAATATATATATAATATATATATAATACAATGTCAAATTATACAGTATTATTATTATTATTATTATTATTATTTAAACAATATTTTAAATATAATGAACTAATAATAATTTCAAAATTTTTAAATAAATAGACTAAAATTGTTTATTATTATTATTACTTTAATTTTTGTATTAAAATATCTGATTTTATTTATTTATATGTATATAAATTAGTGTATGTATGGGTATGTATGTATGTGTGTATGTATGTGTGTATGTATGTGTGTRTGTRTGTATGTGTGTKTGTGTGTGTGTGTGTGTGTGTGTGTGTGTGTGTGTGTGTGTGTGTGTRTGTGTGTGTAAAAATGGTTTCATACATCAATGATTAAACATATATACTAAATACTGTAGATAATAATGACACACATTTATACAGTATTTTTAATATATATATATATATATATATATATATATATATATATTATGCTATCTAAACAAATTAAAATTGTGTATTTTATATAAACATTTATGTTTTTTTAAATATATATATTCAGTATATTGAGGTTAAAATAGCAATTATTTATTAGATTATATATATATTGAAAATTGATAAAATTATTTATAAACTAATTTATTTTATTAAATAATTAAAATCTAATTTTATTTTTTACATTAGATAAWAAATATAAACAAATTATATCAAATATTTTTTTTAWTAGTAATCTTTAAAATACTAAATCAATTAATTATCAATTAATTATYAATTATTATTATWATTATTATAWCAATAATTTAATTATAAATATTTTATTGAAATWAATTTAGTATTTATTAATAATTTGTTWACAAAATAATTTGTAATAAAATAATATATTTTATAKTAAAAAAATATATTTTATTTTAAAAAAATTATCTGACTTATTTAATTACAATTATTTTATTTAAGTTTATATTWAATTTTAATACAAAAAAATCAGCCATATTTTTTTGTTTAGTTAATTTAGTAATTAAAATAAAATTTAATAACAAATATTAGTTTAACCCCAAAAAACATAATATATATATATATATATATATATATATATATATACTGTATGTTTATATTAAAATAATATTTTTGTTTAAATAATTTAATGTCTATTTTCTAAATAAATATTTATATATATATATATATTAAATAATTATATTATAACATAATTGAATCAATTATTTAATTATACTATTAATTGTACTCTATGTTTGGTTTAATCATAAATATTTTTAAATTAAATGTTTTTAAAATAAAAAATAACTAAATAATATAACTTAWTTTTTTTAATTACAAAACAACTATATAATTTTTGTAATAAATTATTTAACAATTTTTTTTAAAAAAATTAATTAGTTCAGTGTTATGGTACTAAAAAAAATATTTGTATAATTAGTATATTAAATTATTTAAAGTTTTTGAAATAGTTTAAAACTATTAAGTTCAAGTTTTACATAATAATAATAATAATATAACTTTTATTGTCAATAGTTATTTTTTTAAATAAATTTAATTAGGAAATTTACCAAGCAAAATTAATTTGCTTATTCATTAATTTTACAACAAAAAAAATAATGATTTTTATATATTGTTTAATATTTCAAAAAAAATATTTAATTTTTTTTATTTAAATGAATTGACAAAAATAAATATTGGCTAAATATTAGATTTTATTTATTTTTAATTTTTTAATTTTTTAATTTTTTTTTTAATTTTTTAATTTTTTAATTTTTTAATTTTTTAATTTAAGTAACTTTTAAATTACTTGTTTAACTAAATAATAATTAATTAAATAATTTACAGTTAAGTAGATTTAGTACAATATTTACAACAACAAAAAATAATAATATAAGATAATAATAATTTAAAAAAATTAAATTAATTAATTAATTAATTAAAAGTAATTTATAAAAAAGTAAGTATTTTAAATAACTAAATATTTTTGTTGCTTTTAACAATTATTATTATTATTATTATTATTATTATTACATACCAGCGCCCACCACTACCATCATAGATACCAGTGCTAACCAAACAATTATGATGCCATCGATTGTATCCATGCTATACATAGTACTAGCATTTGTCAACCATAGACAACAATTACAACAATCGGTTTGTATGGGAGGTCAGGGAGGGTCAAAATTACTGGATAGCTATCACTATATAGTAGTCGGTTCGGGTTCGGCCGGTTCGGTAGTGGCCAAACGTTTAGCTGCTGAACATGACATACAGGTGCTACTAATGGAATCGGGCGGACAGGCAGGCATTGAAACTGATCTACCAGTYTGGGATTGATTGGCACCGACACCTTGATTGGTCATATACTACTAGCCCACAGAAACATATTGGACAGTCGTATCGTCCATCGCCAGGTGTACAGACAGTACACGCTGGYCGAGTAGTAGGCGGTACCTCATCGATAAATTTTATGCACTATAATCGGGGCAATAGACAGTCGTATGATGACTGGTCCCATAGATACGGTGCTCCTCGGTTGGTCATACCGGGAGGTATTACCATATTTTAGGCTAAGCGAACATAATACTGATCGGCAATTGGTTGCCAAAAATCCCGGTTATCACGGAACTGGGGGTCCATTGGCTGTCACATCCTATACTAATCTATCGGAACCGTTAGCTGTCTATTATCGGTCAGTTACGGGTTTAGGCTATCCCAGTGTCGATATTAATGGTAAATATCAGTCGGGTATCGGTTTAGTTCAATACAATTGCGATAGTCATACAAATCTAAGATCATCGACCAGTAATGCCTATTTGATRCCCAGTCARCCAAACCTACACGTTATGTGCAAAGCGCACGTAACACGTGTACTGTTCAGGRGTAGGACAGCCRTWGGTGTYGAATATGTCAGAAATGGCCGCAAATATCAGGTATACGCCGATAATGAAGTGATTATCAGCGCCGGTATGTCTATAATATAATAATATATTACAATATATTACTATTAGTCTATTTTTCGTTTGAACTACAGGTGCYATCGGATCGCCAAAACTGCTWATGCAGTCRGGWTTAGGACCGGCCAGACATCTCCAGTCAYTGGRTATTGAAGTGGTGGCCGACTTGCCCGCTGTCGGCTCCAACCTAAAAGATCACTTGACTGTGCCGTTATATTTTGGCCTAAAAACCAKMAAACCAACACCGAAATACAGGCGCCCGACCTAACCATCGAACAACTATACCAGTTCCGGTCAACCGTACCGGWCCGTTGACGCCCGTCCCAGTAGTCGTCAACTATTACGGTACGGMTGCCTATCCCCAGGATAGCCATGTMTATCCCGGATACGGTTATCTATGCTTATATGTCGCCAGCGTTTACCGCMGCCAATAGCCGTAGCCGTAGTCAACAGTTTGATAGGTCAGTCCGACGTCAATGGTTAGACTGGTTTCGRTCGTTTCCAGGGGACAGTCGACCCGTTTTCAGTCCCGAAGTCGGTGTTGTACGTATCAAAAGTCAGGGTAGTGTTAGACTTGATGACCGCCGCCAGTCTACCGATGATATCGTTGGTGGACAGCCGTCAGTGATYATTGACCCGAACTATCTGTCCAATAGTACCGATATGTCGGCATTGGTTAGTGCCTTGAAATTTCTATACTATATCATTGAAATGACACCGTTTGCCAATTATATTGAAATACCAAGGTTAGTTTTTTTAGTAGTATTTAATTAATTATTTTTTTATATTTTGTTGTAAAAATAAAATTGTTAGCTAACTGTGTGCTAAAAAAATAAATTAAATAGATTAATAACATTTTTAAAAAAAAATTTAGTTTAAATTTAAAAAATATTTTTATCTATTTATTATTTATTATTTAGTATTTTTTATTACATTCAAATTAAAGTTATAATATATAACTTTATATTAATTAAAAACTAACTAAAAATAATTGAAAATTATAAAATATACAATATTTAAACAATTTTTATCTAAAATATATATATATTTTTTTAAATTTTAAATTACTAATTACTAAATTATTAAATAATTAATTAGCTAATTATATTTATTTTATTTATTTATTTATTATTATRATTACAMAATGTTTCTAATAATTAATTAATTAATTTTGTTAGTGTTTTGAATATTATATAATAAATTAATTAAATTTATAATAAAAAAAAAACAATAAAAATTATTAACAAATAGTAKATACGAAAAAATAAAAAAAAATTATTATACTATTAATAATTGATTTATTATAATTAAAAACCAAAAATTAATTAATTAATTAATATTATTATTATATTTTTTATTGTTATTTATATGACATATCCATTTCATATGCAGACCTATACCCCGGTGCCAGTACTGTCCCGACGGGCGTCCAATCCATCGGTGCGACCAATATATCCGTTGTTTGATCAGAGAGACGGCACAAAGTTTTCAACATTTTATCGGCACCTGTCGTATGGGCGGCGGCGGCGGCGGCGGCGGCAGTGATGTAGTAGTGGACGAACGGTTGCGCGTCAAACACGTGCACCGATTGCGCGTAATCGACGCGTCAGTGATGCCCGATGTGGTCAACGCCAACACCAATGCAGCCGTTATTATGATCGGCGAAAAAGGGGCACAAATGGTCAGTCAGGATAATAGAGAGAAAATTTAAATATTAATATTATTTTTAATTTTTTAATTTTTTAATTTTTTTTGAGTTTATAATTGTTTTGTTTATAATAAAAAACATTAATAGTTACAATAATAATATTTATTTATTATTTAGTATTATTTAGTATTATTTATATGAATATACATGTAATTATATTTATTTTATTTTAATTATTTTTTTAAAAAAAATTGATAATATTACAAAAAATTTTTTTTCAATAAATATTTATCAGTAAAAAATTATTTATTTTTTAAAAATATATGTATAATTATTTAATTTTTTAAAACTACTTTATTTTACTATTATATTGTTTGGGAAATACATATTACTTAAGATTTAACTATTTAGTAACATTTTAGTAACATTTTATATATTATAATAATTTTTTAAATATATATAAAATATATAAATTAAAAATCAATCTTTTTATTAGTAAAAAAATAATTTTAATATTTTTTTGTAAAAAAAAATAATATTTACGATGCTAAAACTGGTTGTCCAAAATGATTGCCAATTCCGCACATATTTTTATTTCTAATTAATCTGATGTAACCATTTTCACCCCAATTTGGACCCCAACTGTTGAAAACAATATTTTTTTAAAAAAATTAATAATATTACAAAAAAAATAATAAATAAAAAAAAAATATTACATTAATTATAAACATTCTTAATAATAACATAATAACTATAAAAAAGTATAGATTAAAAAAATATATGGGTGTCATCCATAATGGACGCTAATTTAAGCTACTGTGTGGGTATAGGTTATAATTATAATACATACACATACACACACACACAAACACACACACTCACACACAACCTCCCCCCCTCWCAYACACACACACATACATACATACACACCCATACATACATACACATACACACACTAACATACACACACACCCATACACACCCACAAACATACCTGTTTCGGGCGATCCAATACTTAACACCAGTCGGATCTTCACCATAACCAACAACCAATACATTATGATTGTAATCCCCATCCCCTGGACAGTCACCAATGTTATCAAACACACCGCCAGTATATGTTTCCCATAGCCTACCGACTCGGACAGTGGCCACAACCGGTCCGTTCGATAGAAATGTTTCCATAATATCCTCTTCGCCCGGATGACCAGTTTTCGCTACACCACCCAATCGTGTGACTACTGTAACATTTTTCGGGCACTTGTGCTCGCAATGTCCGGTATAGGGATAGGACTGTTCCGAAGCCATACCTATACCTTTCATTAGAAAGTCATAAACACTCAGCGGATCCTTAACATGACTACCGGGACACCAACTGTCCTCTAAAATAAAAACATATTATAATTTAATTAATTAATTATTTTTATTTAATTATATTTTATTTATTTTTACGGCAATCGTAGACTTGTTGGTCACTTAGCTTAACCAACTGTCCACCAGATCGTTGATAGTGTTTAGCCGATAGTGTGGCCAAAACATTCAATATACCCGCGTCACGTCCCGTTCCCTGAAAATAAATAATTAATTAATTTAGTATATAATCAAAAAATAAATATTAATTTAGTATATAATCAAAAAAAAATTTACAATAAATTTAATTAATTTTTTTAAAACTATATAAATATATAATAGTAGTCTACCTGATCCGGCACCGGTAGTATAGCACCTCTATCTCGCCAATCAAATCCCTTAGATTTAATGGGCACTTTTCGCATCGATGATAAATGTAGAAATAAAATTAGCATGCTAAAAATTATTAGTAAATTGGACATTTTAGCAAATTAATATTTTTTTATAAATCTATTTAATTAGATAATAAAATATTAATATAATTAATAATTATTTTTAGTTTAATAAAATTTATTAAATAACTTTAACTATAGCTAACTGATTATTAATATTTTATTATTATAAATTTTCAGTTTATATAGTATTTAATTTTTGTAGTTAATAATGTGCAAAAAAAGTTAAAAAATGTGTTTGCTCATTGTCAATTATATTTATTATTATTGTTTGATCATGATACAATGATATTTTATTAGTTTTATAAAATTAAAAACATTAGAAATAATAATTATTAATTTTTATATTAATCTAGATAAATATTATTATATATATATATTTGTTAATAATATTTTACTTAATAATAAGTTTTTTTTGTAATTAAATAAAAATTTTAGTTATCAAGGTTATTATACCCTTAATCAAATTATAGATAAAAATACAAAATTTATTTATAAAATAACTAAATAAATATAATTATTTGTTTGCTTATAATTACAGCTAATTACTAACTACTACTACATATATATATATATATAATAATATATATAAATATAAATTTATAACATTACTAACAAATTAGAAAAAATTTTAATATTTAATATTAAATTCATTTAATTTAATTTAATTAATTATTTTTATTTAAATTTAAAAAATACTGTAATAACTTAATTGATACATATTTTATACAAATATAATAGTATGAAAATAAAAATACAATTAGCGTTGGTTTCCTAAGTTATGATACTTATAATAATTAAAAATAATTTTGTAGTAATTATTATTATTATTATTATTATTATTTTAGTAAAAATAAAATTTACAAAAATCACTATTAAAACTTAGATATTAATATTTGATGAGACATTTAGATTTAAGATTATTTTTACTAAAATATTTTACTATTATATAATTTCAAAATTTTTAAATATTATTTCAAACAAAAAAACTGTATTAATTTAATTGATAACTATTTAATACTATTATATATTATGAAAATAATAATTGACATTAGTATACTTACATTATATAAAATTTATAAATTAATTATTAATTAATTATATACTATAAATGTAAAAATTTTTGTTACTGTTATTATAATAGTAAAAATTAATTTTTATTTTTCAAAATATAATTTTTTTAAAATGCAAAGTAATGTTTTTATTTATATTAGTAAAAATTTATAATATTAATTGAGATAAATATTAATACTACTATATACTGTATATTATTTAATATTTAATTATATTTGCATATAAATTTACTTTAAATACAATATATATTATTTAAAAAAAATAAATATTATTTTACTACATATTTTACTATATATATATACATTTATTTATTTATTCAAAAAACTGTAATAATAAAAATTGATTACTATTTTATACGATTATATAATATAAAAAATAATTATTTTTTGTAGCCTTAACTAACCAATTGAATTACATATTTTATGTTAGTATTTAAATTAATTTAAAAAATAAAATTATTATAAAACAATAGTATTGGGAAAAAATTTTTAAAGAAAAAAAAATTAATTATAAATAACTCAATTAAAATCTATAAACATTATACAATATAAATATATTTTACACATATAAATCTATAATAATGTATAATAATGTAAATATTTATTTTTGAAAAAAAACTGTAATAAATTAATTGATAACTAAAATATTTATCTTTAATTAGAAATTGGAAACTATTGGAAATTGTTTAATAATAGTTAAATCTTTATTAAAATATTCACAAAAAATACATACATTTTTTTAAAAAAGTAATCTATTTTTTAAAACTTAATATTTAAATTTTTGAAGAAAAATATTATTCAAAAGTTTTACATTTAGATTATTTTTATAAATATATATTTAAATGTTTTAATTATTTTACAAAAATTTTTAAATATTATTTCAAACAAACAAAAAAAACTGTTATAATTTAATTGATAACTATTTTATACTATTATATATTATGAATTAAATTATTAAGTTTAGCTTATATTACGCATTGGTATTAAAAAAAAGTTTATAAATTAATTTATAAATTAATAATTATTATACAAAAAAATTTGTATTACACACAAATTTTATAAATTAATTAATAAATTGATAATTATTATACTAAAATGTTAAATAATTATTTTTGAAAATATCAAACAAAACTTTTAACAAAAAAAAAGTAAAGTAACTTTTTTTTGTTTTTTATTAATAAAGATTATTTATAATATTAATTTAGATAAATATTTTTTGTTTATAAATATACAGTTTAAAAACAATAATGATACTAAATATATAAATTTTGTTATTATTTAATATTTATTATTATTTGCATTACAAATATACTTTACATACAATATACGGTATATTATTATTTTTTTTTAAATTTAAATTGCTAACATTGAGATTAAAGTTTATTTTAATAAATATTTTAATATTAAAAGTCATATATATATATATATATTAATATTTATTAATTGAAAAACTGTAATAATAATTGATTACTATTTTTATACGATTATATAGTATGAAAATAATTATTAATTTAACCATTTATTGGACAATTGAATTATATATATTTTATTTTCTGTATTAATTATCTAATTAATTAATTATAATGTAATAATAATTTTATTATTGTATTAATAATAAAATTTTCTTAAAATATAATGATAAAAGTAAAGTAATCTTTTTGTTTATTAATAAAGATTATATATATATATATATATATATATATTAATCTATTAAAAATAAAAATATGTTTTTTACTTATTGTCAATATCTAAAAAAAAAATTGTTTTATCATGATAAATTATGTTATTTTAATATATTTATTAAAATAACCATTACTAATAATTATTTGCATTTATTTTAATATTATTATCAAAATTATTAATTTTTTTTACAAAACTCAATGTTATTGTTTTATATATAATATTTAAAAAAATAATTATTATTATTATTAATACAAAGTAAATACTAATTATAATAGTAATAATCTATTGTAAAATTTTTAATTTTGTTAGATTATATAATTTTTCTTTAAAAAAAAATTATCAAGGTTATTTTACTTAACAATATACTTTTAGATAAACTTTCAATAGATAAGAAATAAATACTAATACTAATAATTATTATTTGTTTGATCACAAATTAATATATATATATATAATGAAAACAATTATTACTAATTTTTTTATTAAATAAAATTAATCAATTAATGTTAAAAATAAAAAAATAAATAAATAAAATGTGAATTTCAACATATTAAATCAAATATAAAAATAAATTTTAAAATAATTGTAATTGTATAATATTAACATATATTTATTATTATTATTTGTAAATTTATAACTATAGACTAACATATTATATGAAATTATAATATTTAATATACAAATTCATTTAATTAATTAATTACTTAATTTTTTTTATCCAAAATAAAACCTGTAATAATTTAATTGATACATATTTTATACTATTATAATAGTATGAAAATAATTAATAAATTAGCCTTGGTTACCCCTACTGTATCTGTAATAGTGTATTAATATTATAATACTATTATTATTATAATCTAAAATAAAAATTTTTAATATTTATTAGTATTGTTATTACTATTATTATAGTATTAATAAAATATTTAAAATATTTTCAATATCTATTTAAAATCGATAAGATTTAAAGATTTAGATTACATTTTAAATATCATATTTAATAAGATTATTATATTACAAAAATTTTTGTAAAAATGATTTCAACAACAAACAAACAAAAAGCTGTAATAATTTAATTGATAACTAAAATATTTAATTATAAATTTATAAATAGTTATGTTTTATAGATCACCAGATATTTGGAAATTGTTTAATAATATTTAAATCTATATTAAAATTTCATAAAATACATACAGTCTATAATAGTAATGTATTTTTTTATAATTAGAAAAAACTTAATATTTAATAATTTTAATGAAAATTACTTAACAAAAAGTTTTTAGAAAAAAAAATCGTAATTAAATAAAAATTAAATTTTCAAATAAACTGAAATTTATTTTTTTTTACTTAAAAAATAGTTTAATTAGAAAAAAGTTATAAAAAATTAATTAATTAATAAATACATAATTGAAGGACAAATTAATGTCCAAATATAAAAGTTTATTAAAATTTTGTAGTTTTTAGTTAAAAATGTCTAAAAATTTTTGTGTTTTTTTTAATTTACAGGTAATTTACGGAAGTTTCGTCTATAATAAAAAATACGTATTTTTTTCAATGACTTTCACTGGATATACATTTGTCTGAAAATTATTTTCTTTTGTATATAAATAGGTGTAAAAAATATCAGTTTTAACAAAATATTATAAATATATAAATAAATATATAAAAAAAAGTTATTTATTTATATTATATTTTACTTTAAATTTTTTTTTGTGTAAAAAATAGTTATATATATTTCAACAAAATTAATATGAATAGCAAACAGGTATATAATGTGTTAAATATATATTTTTTTAGTATTACTTTAACTAATATTAATAATATATATATATTAGTTATTTTTCGTGGCACTGGTTGGCCTATTATCCCTATCCGCCATCACTACACATACCAGTGCTCAAGAGTATGGATTAGACGACAGCAATGAACAGGAGCTAGAAGTGGCCGAAACTAAAAATGCTGGTGCTGTAGCAGCCGGTGCTGCCGTTGCTAAAGGTGCCAAATCGGGTGGTTTCGCTACCGGTGCTAAAGCGGGAGCCACGGGTGGGGCAGCATTCAAGTTAGCGGCTGGCGGTAAAAAGGCCGGAGCTGCCGGTGCCGTTTCGGGAGCAGCCGGTGCTAAGTCAGGCAAAGTAGCTAAGGTTTGTTGGTTGTTGTGATAACTAATATATGAATAGATGTTATATAAAATCTTATTATTATTATTAGGCATTTGGTGCGGCCGGCAAAAAGGGTGCCAAATGGGGAAAGGCTGGCAAATTTGGC